GAAACAATTGAGTTGTAGGGCAGAACAACTGCAACCGAGATGCATGAGGATAGTTTGTTAGTGCATTGTACGCGTCTAAATTACTATGTGAACTGCTGGCTGCATGGGGAAATCATACGTTCAGCTAAACAGCTTACTTGCGCCATCTGCCGAAACGCTTGATAACCAATTATTTGTCTACGCTTATGCAATTAACTATTCAATGCTCAATGTTTTCATTGCAAATCGCAACATAGATATGTAGTTTTATTTTTTGGGAGCCTAATCTAATTGTTTTCATTTCAGCACCCGTTGTTAGATCTTTCGTGCCCATATTGTGTAACGTGCCTAGGTGTCCCATCACATACCAAATTGAGCGATACTCCAGTCAGACGAGTTCATCCACCGTGTTATTCCCTTCATTCTCCATCTGACTGGATACTTACTATACCCCCAAATCACAGGTATAGAAGCATAGCCCTGGGTAGCTAAAGCGACAACTTGAACGGCAGATTTTAGCCTAGACCAAAGTGCGTCAACAGCTTCATCTGCTGCAAATACGGGGCGTGGTGCACTGGCAGAACTTTCTGCTTCTATACTGGCCGGTTTATGATCCCACTGACTGCTAAAAATTCTATTTTTCCATTATGGTAAAGATATACGATTCCAAGTCGCCCTCGGACACAACTGATTCGTCAGCTGTGTGTGTTAAAGCGAGTTACGCGGAACCAGTTACTTGTACTTCAGGTGGCATGCCATGTGACCTTGGCATTCGTGGGTTTCATGAGGCTTGCACTGGGTTGGATAGACAGCAATATATTCTCCGACAAAACAGCGATGATTTAACTTATAATTGCCCTGATTGTGCTAAGAAAAAAGCAGTCTGCGTGTGTACCGAGACGCTGATCGATGGTAGTTTAAACGCGATCTGCACACAGATTACAGACAATGCAAATCTAGCGGAAACACTGTCTGACTCTGGATCAACCGTTCAGAGATCGACTGGCCTATATTGAACGGCCTGAATCAGCACGATGTGAAGGCGAGTCTGACGGACACGCCGATACTGGATGAGACGCAGTGAACAATTGCTCACCTGTGAAACAGCAAGTGTGCCGGTGCTGACGGGATCCCGCCTGAAGTATTGAAACTCGTGGACTTGCGTTGATGACTGCGCTGAATCACTTGGTGCAATTCGCGTAAATTGTGGAGGAGGTACCTCCTGAGCTGAAGCATGCCCTTGTGCTTCCACTGTACAAGGGTAAATGGAGCAAGCATTGTTGCACGAATTATCGTGGCACCAACGTGCTGAATTGTCTAGGCAAGGTGATTGCCCGAATACTGCTCAACCGCGTCGTCAATCAGGCTGTGGAACCTAACGTAGCGGAAGAGCAGTGTGGATTCCGTTCGGGTCGCAGCACTATAGATATGGTGTTTGCGGCTCGTCAGGCGCAGGAGTAGTCCAAATAGTGACACCAGCCATTTTTCGTCTATGGTAGTTGATTTCACCAAGGCATTTGATACGGTGAACTGAGAGGCATTGTGACTGCTGTTGGGTAAGTTTGGTTGCCCGAGTAAGTTTGTAAGTTTAATTGAATGTCTGCACAGTGGTATGCGAGCGAGGGTGAAGCTGAGTGGCGCGACCTCGGAAGACTTTGCAGTCTTCTCTGGTGTGAAGCAAGGCTGTGTCCAGTCCTGTTTACTATTTATGTTCATGCAATAATGTCTTGTGGCTTTTATGCCGCTTTTGCTCACAGTGTTCATGTAGAGCACCGTATTACTTGTGGGCTGCTGAATATCCTTTGTTACTGTGCGAGAACCCTAGTCTGTGAGACAACTATCCATAATTTGATGTTTACTGATGAGTGTGCGTTGTTTGCAACCCAGCACGGATGCGTTGCAGAACATGTAGTGCTCTGGCTTCGACAGCGGCCAAATCCGGGCTCACCATCAACACAAGCAAAACGGCCTGTTCCTTACAGTCTCCACCGGAGGTGCAATCTTCAATTTTGCTGCAAACCAGCATTGGTGCTGAAGTATTTGAAATTACTTCGCGCTTCTGCTACCTTGGGAGTGTGATGTCGACTGACCAGCAGCTACACGGTGAGATACGTATCCGCGTCTCGAAGACAGCGGCGGCATTCGGGAATCTAGAGTTCTGAGCGTGGAACAATCAGCTTACCAGTAGCACGAAGTTGAGAGTGTACAAATCCATGAAATTAACCGTTCTTCTTCACGACAGTGAAACGCGGACGATATACCGGCGGGATGTGCGGTATCTTGAGCGGTTCCATCAACAGTGTCTACGACGGATTCTGTGCATTGGTTGTCGCGACAGAGTTGCGGACACGGAAGTGTTGCGTCGAAATGGAATGTATGCAGTGGACTGCATTCTATTGCTGAGACACCTGAGGTGGCTCGGTCATGTACGCCGTATGGATCCGCCGCGGATACCAAAACAACTATTATATGGTCAGCTGAGTATTAGGAAGCGGCATTTGGGGAAACCAAAGTTACGTTACCAGGACATGATCAATGTGAGCCTTTCACGTTCTAAGCTTGATTGCAGGTCAGGGGAATCAAAGGCGGTTGATCGGCGACGTGATCACGAAGGCAGTTGCCGAAGTGCGGGAGAAATACCTCATACATGTAGAGAAGAAGCGGCTAGTGCGGAAGCGGCAAGCGCCGATGGGTTTTACTCCATCAAGGGCATGGTACTGAAGCACATGCGGTCGCGGGTGCCTGAGTCAGGCAGGTCTAGTGAGCCATGAGCGAGGTCACTCGGGACCACTTCCTAAGCGACGACCGGTCCTGAAGAGAATGTAGGCAGAACCGGCGCAGCATTTGTAGGTACGCTACATTCGATTTACTAACCGCGTGCCTGCATGCTAAGTCTCTTTATTTCAGGTGATGAGTCTGAACTTTGCCATTGTGCTTTTCTTTCTCGCATTAATATCTTCCTTTACTATCCTCTAAAAAGTGCACAAGTGTTTGAGGCTAATTGTAGTTAATCTCCATAACATTTTAGCGTTTATGTCATTTCCTTAAAGTCTCTTTGCTGACCTCTTGAACTTAACGTGGAGTCGTTCGTAAACGATTTATTTTATATGCCCATTTAGTGAAGAGTTATGCCGCTGTATCTGTATGCATTATCCGATTTATTCTATTTCATGTTGTCGTTTCAAGTGATTGGTTGTTGCTTGATATCTCCGGTGTGGCTGCGCTTGATGCGCATGTTGACAAGGTGTCAACCTGTCTATTATCCACTGCCTCGTCTATACTCGCTCTAGGAGACAGTTGGTTGGTGTTGGAGGGGAAGGAGTGCACGGTCCTTGTGGTCGTGTTAGGCTCAAAGAGCGGTTCCATGCACTCAGTGTGGAGCTGACTACGTTCTAGCCCCCGCCTTGTGTACGCTTGAATTCCAACTACAGCGTGCTTGTGTTTGCCTGTGAAGGAGTGTGGACCGGGTCACTTGATGAAACGTGGCTCCCATCCACATGCCTCCCGGTCTTATTCCTTCGGTTTTACACTGCATTTGGGGTGTGTGGATGGAGTTGCGGGTGGTGCAGCGCAAGCTATCCATGGTCCATCTGTAGGCGCAAGCGTCCTATGGCTGGCTACATTGACAACCAAATCCGATACCTGATGCCGACAACTACAGCTGCAACCTACGTTAGTAGAGAGAGTGATTAAAAAAACTCAGCAATTTCATTGAATTTATGTGTTTGGTTCTTCCTCAGAAGCACCCTTCCCAAATACAATGACTTGTTAGACAGTAAAATGGCGTACTTACATTAAGTTGGCTAGATGAATCTGAAGCGGTTCAGGCTTGTCCATTAAAAGATTATATATGATGAATCAGTTGTTCGTGTTGCAAGCGCCAATATGCAATACTATGTAGCATAACAGCTCGCAAATCTCAGGTATTCACGGTGCATTCTCACTCCATATCCGTGAACTTAAGCGGCAGACCGGCGATGGAAAGTGGCTTAAGTATACGTGCTATAGTTAGAACAGCAAATAAAATACAAATGACCAAACCTAAACGTTCAGTACTGCGGACTTTCGTTTTGTTACCGTCATGCACCATCGCTTGTTTTGTCATGTGATTCCCTTGCCTTCATCGGTTGTTAAAGGTCGTACTTTCTGGATGCGGACCACAGTTTCATTAGAAAGCTATCCCGGTTAATTTCCTCTGTTAATGTGTGATTGATGGGTTCATTATTTGCCGGGTCAAAACTTTCAATTTCTTGTCGTTCGCTTTCAGTTCTCTTGTTAGCTTTACAGGTGTGCGTCATACAGTAGATTCAGTATTGTTTCCGCATAAAAAGATCTCTGAAGCCTGTTTCAGCTGTTTCGTGTTCTCATTACCGTTAGCGAGTGAAATCAGCCGCAAATTCGACAAGAAAATTACCATCTGTGTTTGCGATAGATAAGCAAGGGGATTTGGGTGATGTAAGTGAAATATACAAATTAGTGCAATTGCCGATTACACATGCCTGTATTATCATAATCCTGCCATTGATGGTGTTCCTCGCAATGACGAGAATACATTAATTATACCATACCGTGCTGCAGACGAACAACCACCAAAATGTCCGGTGAAGCAATATACGGCCGTTTCAATCTATCGGTATAGCCGGCAATGCGCATTCCACCTTACCCTTCTTAGGCCTGAAACCGCCACCCGAATTTTGCTAAACTGTGATTCAGACCACTGAGCTGCATGACTGTTAGTAGATGTAAGACAGCAACCAGCCAATATCCCCTGACTTGCAAGCTGCTACCGCGCAGAGGACAGGGTAGCTCTGCCACCCCCACGCAGTATGGCGCATAACTTCACGCACGCAACACCGGTTGCAAAAACCAGTATTTTAGTAAATCACATGAGTAAGTCGCGTGTTTTATGCATATAACACTGGCATTGGTAGAGAAATATTAAAATGTGTTGTTTCCGATTTCAACTGATATCGCTATGCTATGTGGCTATATCATGACATACTTGTTTCGTTATATTTCAGCGGAATTTTGGGGTGCTGCATCATACCCTTCTATTGTGACAGTTGCAAAGATGCAACACACTCTTGTCCACAGTGCGGAACGATTATCACCACAGTGAAACGATGCTGAATGCCGGAGCTGATTGCAAGTAACTTCACCACAAGGAGAACGTGCACATCAAAACCTTAAATTCCTTTGTGCAACGCACAAAACATGATTTTTGTACTTTTGTCATTATCTATTGTGGGTTGATAAAGCAAATGATTTATGCATAGTTGCTAAAAGTTACAGCTCTCCCGCTGGCTGTGGATTAACACCCAGCTAGAAGAAGATCTACAGCTTAGATGTTGCTGTTCAAATGGCAGAACAAAATCGGATAAATTGCAAGATGTCTAAGGTGGTCAAAACACAACCAGCAAAGTGTGGTACGCGATCAGAGCTATCTTTACTATATGTTTTCACGGCATTGATAAAAGAAACCGGATTCTGGAGTATATTTTATTTGGCTACATATAGTCAAGTGAAATGTTGAGTATGTGAAGCGAAATCCAGAGTTCATCGCTATTCTGTATTCGTCAGCATACATTCACTAGGGGAACTACCGTAATGTGTGGCAATACGCGCCTTAAGTTCTGGCAGTCAGTGTGACTGCGAACAGCCATTGGATGCCATCGCTGCAAGGTAGGACAAAACTTATTACTCTAGCATCCTCAAGAACTGAGTACATTTGATGGAAGAAGGCAAATGAGTCTGCAGTTTGAAAGCGATACTGACTCACAGTTGTCCGAACGCTTTTCAACACTCATACTGATGATATGAAATAAAAAGCTGCATACGTGATAATGTTATACAGGGCAGCGAACGCTCTATGGTTTAACTTCCACCTTAACTCTGCAATCAATACCGCGTACCTCGCTTCAATAGAATTCTCAATGAACAATGAATTTTATACGGGTTAAGAAGCGTTGCTTTACAAGCCCCGTTGGATAGTTGGTGGGGATATCAACATAACAATTATGATGAAAAGGATAGTAAAATAGTTAATACTTTAAATACGAAAATAAGGACTTATCGTTTGCTTCGCTGCAGTCCTGCGATCCACTTAGATTCACAACACCCACATTAACAACAAATAATTCCAGGGTAAACTCCAGGTGTAGAATAGAGACGTAGTATTAAGTAACAAAGTGTAAGTGGATGAGTGCATCGTCCAACCGTCTTTTAAATATTGTTAGTGTCGGTGCAGAGACGACCGATTCTGGGAGAGCATTCCACGGGTGACAGACACGGATGGAAAAGAAATTTCTGCGGCACTCCAGACGACTGTATTGTTCTGTGAGTTTTAATGAGTGGCCCCTCAGGTTTGTATTGCTGCTGAGTTGCAGTAAAGGGCGGCACACATGATGTGGGTCTCGCAGAATCAAGTATGTCATAATCAGGTCGTCTCGTAGCCTGCGATAGCTTCCCCTGAACAATCCTAGTCGTCGCAGCCTCTCCTGGTAGGACAGATTGCGCATTCCAGTTACGTTCTTAGATGCCCGGCGTTGTGGCTGCTCCAGTGCATTAAGGTCGTGTTTCAGCCATGGATGCCAGGCTTGAATTGCGTATTCGACATGGGGGCGAACATACGCACTGAGCATTTGTCGAAATATGGAGCTGTTTATTTGTCCAAACGCCCGCCTCAACAGCCCAACGTGTTGGTTCCCGGTCTTCGAGGCCTTTTCGGATTGCCTGGAGCAACCCAAGTCATCTTGAACCAGGACACCCAAGTCACGTTCGAGAGTTGATTGTTGCAGTACATCCGTTCCGAGTCGGTATGAGTAGCTGCTTTGATGTCGGATGAAAGCACCTTGCATTTACTGACGTTGAAATGCAATAAGTTTTGGATCGACCATTGATACACTGTATCTAAGTCACTTTGGAGCACATGTTGGTCGGCGTTCGCCTGGATCCTGCGCCAGATCTTGATATCGTCGGCAAACATTAGGAAGTTTGAAGCGATTCCCTGTGCAAGGTCATTAATAAACACCAGAAACAAACGTGGACCTAGAACCGAGCCTTGCGGCACACCACACTCCACTTGTATGGGGTCCGATAAAGAGCTCCGAACTCTGACCACTAATTGCCTTTGAAATAGAAAGTTGGCGATCCAGCTTAAAAGAGGGTCGCCGATCCCGTAATGCTGCAGCTTGGATAGTAGTATCCGATGGTCTAGACGATCGAAAGCCTTGGAAAAATCCAGGTAGATCACATCAACACCTTCTCCAGCGTCGGCTGCCTCGGTCCAACTACTGCGTGCAATTAGTAAATTAGTTGTACATGACCGCTGTCGACGGAAACCGTGCTGTTCAGGAGTGATGAGGTTGCAGTTTTCAGATAGCACACCAGTGCATCGGCAACTATGGATTCCATGACCTTGGAGAGTATAGGAAGAAGGGTTACTGGGCGGTAGTTGGAGGGATCAGATCTGCTTCCACCTTTGTGAATCGGGCTTATTATTCCAAGCTTCCACATGGCAGGAACTTGGTTCTGGTCTAAGCAGTGCTGAAAAACTGAGCTAAATGTCCTGCCAGTTGGTTTGCTGCTGCTCCCAATGCCTCAGGACGAATGGCGTCGACACCCGGCGAGCTGTGTTTGCGTAGAGAAGTCAGCTTTTGCAATACAGCCTCTGCGGTAAAATTGATGTGGGTTAGTCCTGGTGAGCAGAATACAAAGCTTGGTAGATCGCTTGGTGGCAAGACCCTTTGAAACGTGGGGGCGTATTGCATCTGCAGCGCGTTTGCAGCTTCCATAGACGTTCTTGTTGGGCCATCAGCCGTCTTGAGTGGAGGAAATCCTTGCCTCACCTTTCGTAGGCTATTAACGTGCTTGTACAGCAGTTTGTGGTTAGCACTGAAGGTTTTTGCGATGTTCTGCTGATAGGCGGCTTTGTCTTCTCTTAACAGTTGAGTGCAGTGGTTACGTTGGGCTACGTAGTTGTCCCCAAGTTTCTGGTGCTGGAGCTTCTCTGTACACTCGCCATGCTGCGTTGCGTACTGTCATCCATTTTCGGGTTCTGCTCCTAACGAAAGAAACGGATTTGCACTTATTGCAAGCTTTTATCTCTGAAGCCTGTGCAATCAGCTGACTGAATGTGTTGACGAACTCGAGCCAGGCGACTTCCGGGGGTTCTTCTTCGAGGAAAGACCATGTTGTGGCGCTGACTAGCTGGGCGAGTCGGTCGTACCTTGTGATGGTTCGCACAGTATCATCGTTATCATTCCGATATTCTGCATAGCAGACGAAGTTGAAACTGATGACTGCGTGATCACTGCGACCCAACGGGCAGTCTAAAACCAACGCATCAATCATATGCTCCTCGTTGGTAAGCACAAGATCCAGCACAGATGGCCTGTTACCAGTTCTGAACCGAGTGGGCAGAGTGATGTGGTTGTAAAGAGGAGCAGTAGTTACTAGATCTTGTAAATCGGTTTTGAATTGTTCTCCGGTCGTGGCAGGGGCTTCTAAACAATGTACGTTGAAATCACCCATGATAAGAATGTGAGTGTACTTTTGTTGTAAACTGCACCTTAAAGCAGCCATTAGGTGGTAGTCGGTTTCGGGTGTTGAGTTAGGGGCGCGGTACACCAAGATAATAAGGCAAGCGTCCCTGCCTTTTAACTGCAACCGGCACCAAAGAGAGTCGGGGAACTGCGAATCTGAATCCTCCACGGCTTCGCACTGTAAGTCGTTTCGGTAGTACAGGATTACCCCTCCTCCTTTTGTGAGCCTATCGTTCCGGATCAGCGACATGCCGGGTAGCGACACTTCAGCGTCCGTCATTCCCGTGTGCAACCATGTCTCGGTGATACCAATGACATCATACGAGCCGGAAGCTTGGCGATCTTTCAGTTCAGCCAGTTTGTTAGAAAGTCCCTGAGCATTTGTATACAAGCAGGCCAGTTTCTCGGTCTCTAGGAGCCCGCAGAGAGGTGAAGCTGTCAAGTGTGGGAGAATGCCGACCGATGGGGGGTCGGCAGTTATTCGTTTTTTTGATGGGTCAATGATACCTCGTTTGCAACTTGATTCGGCCAAGGTGCGTCCCAGCCTTCGTTTAGACCTACGTCAGAGTCAATTAAAGCAGCAGTCAAGTTACACTTCTGTACATTCGTCAGGATGCTTGCTGCTTCAGTTGCTTTAATACTTGAGCTGTGCGAATTGTTTGCGACCTTTAACCGAATTTCGGAAGGAAGATGTTTCCGATTTCTCCGCCATCGATCCAAAACATCCTTTGCTTGTTGCTCTGACTGAACCACAAGTTTTAGGATTCTAGGGCCGCATCCTCTATAATTTGGTGAGAGAGGTATCCTGGTGAGCGATAGTGCCACAACATCATCCAAAGAAAGTGTTTCACGAATGAACCGCCACTGTTCTAAATCGTGCTTTCCGGTATCTTGAACATCGTTAGAAGGATGTTCTGGCACGCCATGTATGAAGACTGTGTTTAGGCGGTCTTGCTTGCTGTGCCCCTCTTCGGTGTTTCGTTTTGGTTGTCGCGCGCTCCAAGGGACATCAGGATAGATACGTTTCCACAGGATTCGTGTTTTAGCGCGCTTGCGGAGAGCAAAACATTTTCCACGTCGGTGGAGGATTCTAGAGTTACTCGAATAAGTCTGGGTTCACCATAGTGTGGCGAGTTCGGATGACGAGTAATTCGTAACAAGTTTATGGGCTTGGCTTTGATACTCATCTGCATACACAATGAGTTCCATTGGTCTTGGTCGTCTGATAACTTATCCCGCAATGTGATGGCGGTAGATTCAGGGACATTTGAGCATACAACAGTCCGGGCACTGTTGTTGGATCCCTTTTAATCGATCTACAAGGTATGGTACTCATTTGTCTTGACTTGTTGACAAGTGATTGTTTGCTGTTTTTCTCTCCATTTGCGTTAACGGTGTTTACAATGGAAGAGGACGCAACGGCGGCCTCTCGGTGGACCCTTGCAGCAATCTCTGCATATGTAACCGATGTTCTGGGAGGCTTATCTCGACAAGAGATACTTTGAGCTACAGGTACCAAGGGGTTGGGTTTGGCTGCTCCATCCTTGTTCATACTAGATGTCAGGTCTAGTGGAATTTGCTTAACCAGACGTTTTGAATGGTGCTTGATTTTCTTTGCTGTGAGTACTGCTTGATTCACGTAGTACAGTCTGTTTTCGCCCGGCGTTCTACCAACGTTGGAGAAGACAATGGGGATGGAGACATGGCTGATTGCGATGCAGGGGAAACGAATTTTTCAGCATTCCGTTGCTTAGCAGCCGCTACGCTTCTGTGGTT